AAATTAATCAAATAGTATTTGCCTTGTTGCAGGTCTTGATTTGTTGAAAGATGTCAAGGTAGATGCAATCTTAGGTCCTCAGACATCTGGACATGCCAACTTTCTGATGGATCTTGGAGACAGAGCTCAGGTCCCCATAATTTCTTTTTCTGCAACAAGCCCTTCTCTTCATACTCGAACTCCTTACTTTGTTCAATCCGCTCAAGGCGATGAAACTCAAGTTGGTGCAATTGCTGCCATAGTTAAAGCCTTCCAGTGGAGTCAGGTTGCTATCATAAATGAAGACTCAGAATATGGGAGTGGCATTGTCCCATACTTATCTAATGCATTCCAAAGCATAAATGCTCATATTTCATACAGAAGTGTATTTCCTGTTTCAGCAAGTGATGATTTTGTTCTCAAAGAGTTATACAAGATGATGACTTTACAGACAAGGGTGTTTGTGGTCCATATGTCATATACTCTTGGTGCCAGACTCTTTCTGAAAGCCAAGGAAATAGGAATGATGGATAAAGGTTATGCCTGGATCATCACCAGTGGACTAACGGATTCAGTCTACTTGATGGATTCCAATGTTGCTGAAGCAATGCAAGGGGTATTAGGTGTGAAACCTCTTATACCAATATCTAAACAGCTCAACTCTTTCGCCAATAGATTGAAGAAAAGATCCCTAGAGAAAAGTCCTGGCATCGGACCAGCAGATTTGAGCATTTTTGGTCTGTGGGCATATGATACATTGTGGGCACTGGCTATGGCTGCAGAAAGAGTTGGATTAAAAGAGACACCAAAGGCTTTAGGGAATTCAAGTGTTCATCTCAATGTTTCAGACCTTTTCAATTTTAAAACGTCAGGAGTCGGCCCACAACTTCTAAAAGCAATGTCAGAGACCAAATTTGAGGGGCTTTCTGGGAAGTTCCACCTTGTAGATGGTAAGATGGAGTCATCATCCTATCAGTTAATTAATGTGGTTGGAAGTGGACAGAAGAAAATCGGAATATGGATTCCATCACATGGAATAAGGAGGGAACTGAACATGAACAGTACCACAACTAATCATACAAACTCCAGGGAATATATGAGGAGTATCATATGGCCTGGTGATTCAACAGTTGTGCCCAAGGGCTGGGAAGTTCCAATGTCTGGTAAAAAATTAAAAATTGGAGTGCCAGTGAAAGCTGGTTTCACAGATTTCATTAGAGTCACAAGGGATGGTCAGGCTAATGCCCACATCAGTGGATTCTACATAGACGTGTTCAAATCTGTCATGGAAGCATTGCCATATGCTGTGCCATATGAGCTTGTTCCCTTCGAAAATCCTGATGGCTCTAGTGCAGGAACTTATAATGATCTTATTCACCAAGTGTTTCTTCGGGTAAGCTAGTCGGACCTAGGTGTCTTCAAAACTATATTTTTCATTACTAACTTCAATCTGCAATGATGCAATGAATGCAGAACTATGATGCTGCAGTTGGAGATATAACCATCACAGCGAACAGATCAAAATATGTGGACTTCACGTTGCCATTTGCAGAAGGAGGAGTTCTTACCATTGTGCCAACCACGCACGAAGATGTCAACGATATATGGGCTTTCCTAAAGCCCCTAAAGAAAGAACTCTGGCTCACAAGTATAGCATTTTTTTTTCTCACGGGTCTGACAGTCTGGATACTTGAACATAGGGTAAGCTCTGCCTTTCGTGGACCTCCTTCTCAACATGTTGGCATGATCTTCTACTTTCCTTTCTCAACACTAGTATTTGCACACCGTGAGTAGTAACTTAATCTTTCATATTTTATTTTGACATTTTCCTCTATAATAGAGTATAGGACTCATGAATATAGTATGTATTATCTGCTTGCATTGTAGGAGAAAAAATAGTGAACAACTTAGCTCGACTGGTTGTAGTGGTATGGATGTTCGTCATACTCATCCTGAGCTCCACTTACACTGCAAGCTTATCGTCAAGATTAACCGTACAAAGGCTTCAACCATCAATCACAGATGTCAGTGAACTCATCAAGAAAAGAGAATTTGTGGGCTGCCAAGAAGGCTCATTCATAGTGGACTTCTTGAAAAAACAAGGATTTGAGGGGTCCAGGATTAGGACATTCACTTCCCCATATGACTGTGATGAAGCCTTGTCTAGAGGAAGTAAAAATGGTGGCATATCAGCATTCTATGACGTCATTCCCTACTCCAAGCTCTTCCTATCCAGTCATTGTGACAAATACATGACAGTTGGGCCTACCCATCGCACAGATGGCTTTGCCTTTGTAAGACCTTTTGATCTCCCTTGAGTGAAGTTTTACTATAGGTGCTAAACGCATGGGACTTATCGTCCATAGGCTTTGTTTTAAACAAGGCAGTACTAGACAAGGCAGTTGATTGTTAACCAACAGTACAATTGGAATTTTTTTTAATTAGGAATGACAAATACAATTTTAGTATAAAAAAACTAGCTTGAAGAAAAACTAAAAAGCACATCTTTTGATTGATGAGATTTTTACTTCACATATTTGTTTTAGTTCTCTTGCTCAAATAGTTATTTTTCTTCGTCAAAGCTCCAACAGACATTGACATTTCTCTGTTAGAGCGAATGTGTTTTGTGCTGCAAATGAGTATCTCATGCTACTACTGTCTACTGAACTTGGTTCAAAATCAAACAGGCTTTCCCTAAAGGATCTCCTTTAGTTGCTGATGTGTCTCGTGCGGTCATCGAACTAACAGAGAATGGGAAGATACTGGAAATGGAGCAAACTTGGTTGAGGAATGAACCAACCTGTGCAGGACAAGAAGAGAGTATGAACTCAATCACGATCTCGTTGCAGAGTTTCAAAGGCCTTTTTGCCATCACTGGAGGAGTTACAGCAATATGCCTCCTCGTTTTCATAGCCAGTTACCTCTACAGGTATAGAGATTTCCATCGGAGAATCTCGAATTCACCAATCACAATTTGGTCAAAAGTTGTAGCTATTTGCAGACATTTTGATCAGAGATCTCTATCATCTGGACTGTCACCACAAGATAAACTTCCAGAAGCTACAATCACTTGTTCAGAAAATTCTATCCAACCAACAGATTTGCCAAGAACTCATGAAATAGTGTCGTCTGCACCAGAAGATGCGATTCATTTGGAAGACATGTCTTCTGCACAACACTCAGGAGTAGTCCATCCATCTGCATAACTGAACTGAACTGAAGATAATTTTCCTTTTTTTCGGCTTCTGTAAAGTACATATTACCAACTAACATTTCTCACTTGTTAACCTTTTCTGTGCCTCATCTTTCTGATTATAATGAGAATCGAACATATTTTAATGACTGCATTTCGGTCTGGGAATAACTATAAAAAATTACTCTGCCCTGCCCCCCATATCAAGGAGCTCTCTGTCCACCAGATAAGTTGTCCATTTTCTCCAACAGAGGTTAGGTCTCTGGTGGGTTCAAAATGTCTCTCTTCCAATAATTTTATTAAGCGTTGAGTTGAGGTAACATAATTTGAAATTAAAACTAACCTAAAATATCTCAACAACATGAACAAACCAACTAAAATTCATAATTCAAGTTCATCTTAAACTAGACAACTTATTTTGCTAAAAGTTAACTAAATCAAGCATTGCTCATTTTTTGTGTTCATTTTTTTTTCTTTTTTATCGCGTCAACATATTCACTTACGTTAGTCTTAATTCTCAGGTAAAATCTTCGTTGATCATATATACCAATCATTTTAGAATTATTATTTTTTTACTTTGTAAAGAATGATATGGTTGTAGGTCATTACTTTGTTTGTTAAACACCAATAAAATGAATTTAAGTGTATTCAAAATTAATCTATCAACAGACTTTGTTGCTTCGTATCATTTTATAAAAATTAGTATTAATATACTGACATTTATAATTAGTTTTAATCTATCCCTTTGGATAATTTTTAAAGTAGAATAAGAATACTATTAAACTAATACTATATAATTTGAATCATATGTGTTTGACATGATGTTAAAATAAGCATTGAAGCCTGAAGCATGTGAATATTTTATTGTTAAATAAAATAATTTAAATACGTTATAGATTATTGTTTGATTTTATAAAAATAAAAAATATATATTTTATTATCATTTCCTATCGGGTTTATTTGGAAATATAAGTAATTAAATAACTATAGATTGGGCTTTTGATTATGTAGTTAGTGCTATAAAATAAAGGGAAAGGCACCGTCATTATTCAGTTTATGAATAATTAGATGAGAAAGAGGCTTGGTCAAGTGATATGTCAATATCGGTACTGCTACTTCTTCCTCAAGCAAATTAGGGATCAATTTTGAATAGTGCCAAAGCCAAAGCGTTGAATATTCTGAATGAAAATCTTGGCAACATCCTGCATCTTCCTTTTAATTATGGATGAGCCAATTTATTAAATGAATGATCTAAACTTTAAAAAATTGGTTGATTTTCCCCCCTCTAGACTCTAACAAACAACATATGAGCTTCTACCATTTATCTATCACAACTTTGTCTTCAATTTTATCACCCTACTGTCATGTCAAGCCTTTATTATTCAAAGCTGAAGTCAAATTCATGTACAAAAAGATGCACCATTTGCACTGCAAACTTGTTGAAAAGTACTACTGTCTTCACAATATATGCCCCTTTGACATTTACACCTTATTTATTTTTTTGAAATTGACATTTACACCTTATTCTGTAGGGACAAAGACTAATAATACAAATCTAACCTTCTTGTCTATGTACAAGAAAAACGATGTCTAAGCACCTCATACTCATAGCTAAGCTGTAATTTTGAGCTGAAGAAAAATACAAATGTAAACTTAGTTAAGCATCCAATCCAGATATAAAAGGTAAATTCAATGATGTTGAAAATTCCAATTATTGCTTTGTAATATGATTTTCTAGGAATTGATTGGCCTTTCGGAGATTTAGACGCCAACAAAAATTATAACGAATTTCTGATACTTTTATATTATTATATATTGTTTGCTTGGCTTGATAACATACTAATAGTTTTATATAGTAAAGATTTGAGAATAACTAAGACTTGATACCAATAACTTTTTTTCTCCCCATATCCAGGAAGTTTCACAGCATTTTTTATTGTTGACTTGTGTGATGCATACAACAAAACCAGATCTTGGTTAGTATACAAGTCTTGGTCCACTGATGCCCTATATAAGCAGCTCAGATATAACAACACTCTCTAGTTAATCTAAATCAATTAGTACCTCCTTGAAGAAGCAATGAACATCACCTTCCATTCCATTCTTGTTGGTCTCCTCCTTATTACAATGAGTTCCGCCTTGCGTTGCTCTGGGGCCTTGGATGGCAACAACTCTGTTATTAACTTTCAAGTGGGTGTGATTCTTGATTTGGAGACACAGCTTGGGCACAGGGCTTTCAATTGCCTCACAATTGCCCATTCTGACTTCTATTCACGTCATCCAAACTATAAAACAAGACTGGTTCTTCATGCCAGGGACTCCAAAAGAAATGTAATTGATGCTGCTGCTTCCGGTAAGTAGACTTTTCCTTTAACATCCCTATACACTTTGTGTCAGAAACAAATATGTGTAAATGTCCACTGTCCAATAGAGTACTACTAAAAGGGAAAAATAGGAAAATAAGTACCTGCGAGAATCAGTCTAGAATTCAGAAGCAAAAGAATCTTCTTAAATCCTGAAACACTACGCTGTAGTTGATTACAGGAATTGCTAGCTTTATGGGGTTACTGAGGTTCACTATACCATCAATCTCAGGTCATCATGCCTACAACAACAACATACCTGGTATAGGTGGGGTCGGGAGAGGGTAGAATGATCGCAGACCTTAAACCTACCATGTAAGGGTAGGGAGACTGTTTCAACTAGACCCCGAATCAAGGATAGAAGATAAAGAAGCAGTAAAATCAACAAGATAATAAGATAAACAAAGTGAAACAAGTAATCAGGTAATACTAGCGATCAAAGAACAATGATTTTCCTTTCCTTTTTTTACTTCATTTATTGACGTTGCAACGACTACTACCTTCAGCCAGGGTGGAGCTAGAAGCGAGACACGAAATAGATAGAGTTCAATAGCGTTTGTTCAAACAATATATTTGTGTTAAAAAGATCCATCAAATATAATATTATTTAGAACCCAATTACTACCACTTGAAGTCATTGTTCTAAAATCTAGAACCCATAAAGCTGAAATCCTGACTCTACCTCCAACTTGTAGTTCCAGCAAGTATGTGATAAACGCCTTGAACACTAACTACCAATTTCAGTAATTTACTCGCAGCCAGTCTAATCAATCCATATCATGATATCTGGTCTGCCTGAATGGACTGTATGCACCCCTAAAATTGGAAAGTAAACCATGCCTTATTAGGAGAATTAAATTTTTAATCCATCTTCCTTTGGCATAAAAATTGCAGGTCTTGAATTGTTGAAATATTTAAAAGTCGATGCAGTAATTGGGCCTCAAAAATCAACACAAGCCAACTTCTTGATGAATCTTGGAGAGAGAGCTCAAGTCCCAATAGTATCTTTCTCTGCAACCAGCCCTTCTCTTCAACCTCCAAAATTTTTTGTTCAAACAGCCCAAACTGATGACACTGAGGTTGGTGTCATTGCTGCCATTGTCAAAGCCTTCCAGTGGAATCAGGTTGTGATCATTTATGAAGATTCAGAGTACGGTAATGGCATTGTTCCTTACTTGTCTAATGCCTTGCAAGACATCAATGCTCATGTTGCCTATAAAAGCCTCATCCCTGTATCAGCTGACGAGGATTTTACACTCAAAGAGCTGTACAAGATGATGACCATGCAGACTAGGGTGTTCATAGCACATCTGTCGCATTCTCTTGGGGCCAAGTTCTTTCTAAAAGCCAAGGCAATAGGTATGATGAGTGAGGGCTATGTCTGGATCATCACCAGTGGTCTTATGGACTTCCTTCCTTCCATGAATTCACACGTTGTGGAAGCCATGCAAGGGGTATTGGGGGTAAAGCCACTCATTCCCAAGACTAGCCATCTTGAGTCATTGAGATTGCAAAAGACAATCTTTGACCCCGTCAATCCTGGTTATAAATCAGCAGATATGGTGAGCATTTTTGATGTATGGGCATATGATACTATGTGGGCACTAGCTATGGCTGCTGAGCAAGTTGGAAGTCACTATCCAGAAGCTTCATATCAGGACACAACTGCCGACCTCAATTCTTCTGACCCATTCAACCTTCCTATCTCAAAAACAGGTCCTAAGCTTCTCAAAGCAATTTTGACAACTAGGTTTAAAGGGCTTAGTGGAATGTTCCATCTCGTTGGTGGAAAATTGTATCCCACGTCATATAAAATACTGAATGTTGTTGGAAATGGAGAAAAAGAGGTAGCAGTCTGGACACAGGCTCATGGATTCAAAAGGGTGAGACACAACACTAGCGACAAATTTGATTCAACCCCAAAGGAGGAATTTAATAGTAACATCATATGGCCAGGGAAATCTAGAGTGCTACCAAGGGGATGGGAAGTTCCAGTTAGGGGTAAAAGGCTAAAAGTTGCAGTGGCAGTGAGACCTGGTTTTGAGGAATACTTGAATGTGATGAAGGATTCGAGGACGGGTGTTGTTCATTTTAGTGGGTACTACATAGACGTATTCAAATCAGTGATGGCAGCTTTACCATATGCTGTGCCTTACGACTTCTTTCACTTTGAGAAGCCGGATGGCTCATGTGCAGGGAGTTACAATGATCTTGTAAATCAAGTGTTTCTACAGGTAACTAGAGTATAAACTAGTACTGGTAGCAGAATCTTATTTTTACTATCCAGCTAGTCGTTCCTCTTTTTCCTTACCAGATTGTGTTTCTGTTCTTTGACCCTGCAAAATCAGAAATATGATGCTGCCATTGGAGATATTACAATCACAGGAAACCGATCAAACTACGTGGACTTTACTCTGCCATTCGCAGAAGGAGGAGTGGTTAGAATTGTTCCAATTACTTATGAGGATGACAATAATATGTGGACGTTCTTGAAGCCCATGAAGAAGGAACTCTGGCTCACAAGTATAGCATTTTTCTTTGTCACGGGATTAGCTGTTTGGATTCTTGAACACAGAATAAGCTCAGCTTTTCGGGGTCCCCCTTCTCACCATCTTGGCATGATCTTCTATTTTCCCTTCTCCACTTTAGTATTTGCACACAGTGAGTTGATCCCCTGTAAACGCATCTTCTTCATCTCCCCATAAATTACTTTACCTGACTAAATTTATTCTGACATCTTATTCTGCAGGAGAGAGAATAGTGAGCAATCTGGCTCGTCTGGTTGTAGTAGTATGGATGTTCGTAGTACTCATATTGAACTCCACTTACACTGCTAGCCTATCATCAAGATTGACCGTACAGAGGCTACGACCAGCTATTGCAGATGTGAAGGAACTCATCAGGAAAGGACATTCTGTGGGCTGTTACCAAGGCTCATTTGTATGTGATATTTTAAGGGGGGTGGGTTTTGAGGACTCAAAGATCAAGATGTACAGGTTTCCAGAAGATTATGAAGAAGCTCTGTCAATTGGAAGCAAGAGTGGCAACATATCAGCACTTTTTGATGTGGTTCCTTACTCCAAACTCTTCCTAGCAAAGTACTGTGACAAGTACACCATTGTCGGCCCTACCTATCGCACTGAAGGTTTTGCCTTTGTAAGCATAAAAGAAGCTCTACTTGCTCTAGTCTCCTTGTAGTATATATGATGATTATGATGTCTGCCCAGCTTGCGAGCAGCTTGACTAATCCACTCGATACCTGCTACCTCCTACTAGGACAAGTATCAAGTAACTCTGCCCACCATGGTTTAGATCCACTAGGATTTGAACCTGAGACCTCATCGACCATGGTTCCCCCCTACCCCAATTCATTGACCACTAGGCTATACTCTATTATATATATTAAGAATTGTTTCATCCACTCCCCCCTTGTAGTATATATTAATAATAGTTTCATCCCTTTCCGCAGCTGGTGTACTAATTTGTCTTTTGAAAATGAACAGGTTTTCCCAAAGGGAAGTCCTTTGGTGGCTGATGTCTCTCAAGCAGTTATCAACCTAACAGAGAACGGTGAGATGTTAGACATCCAACAGAAGTGGTCTGTAGGTGATCCCACATGTAATGGTCCAGACAGCATTGTAACCTCAGTCAGTGTCTCACTACAAGGTTTCAAAGGGCTCTTTGCCATAACTGGCACCATCACATCTTCATGCGTACTTATTTTCATAGTCATCTATGTTACCAAAAACAGAAGTTCTCTTCAGCAAATTTTGAATTCCAGAAGTACCGTTTGGTCCAAAATTAAAGAAATAGGTCGACACTTTGACCAAAGAGACCTCTCATCTCATCCTTCTACCATGGCAAGAGACCCCCAGTTTAAGTATCCAAAAGCAGAAGTAGCAGAAATTGTTTCTTCATCACAGTCTGTTGACTTGTCCAACTCTAATCTAATGGTACTCAGTCTGCCTATGAATATTCTTTCCACTCACTCCAACAACATTGCATTGCCAAACATACCTACAAATGCTACTTCTTCAAACTCCACCGTCTTGGCACCAATTTTGCCAGAAGAATCAAACACCGCCATTGATGTCACTGACAGGTTACAGCAGCAATGCTGTGATGCACAACTAGAATCTTAGCAGCTGCGCATCAGTCATAATTTTTTATCCAGCTTAGTACATATTAGTCATATACATGTACAGTAGATTTTCCATTCAAAATTCCAGTTCATGAAGTGTAGATGTAGCAAAAATGGGAAGAACAAAGATCGGGTTCTTTAGCACCTTTCGCAACTCAGATATCAGGCCCCCAGTAGTAACTGCAACCTGTTATGGATCTAGGAAACCAGCTTACACCCAGTAATGAAAGGCAATAAATATGCACCATGTCTCCCACTATGATTACAAATGAACCCACACACTACCACAACAACCCAGTTCCCCAATAAATTTGATGAGAGATGGCAACATCACATCAACAACAAAGAAAATATTTAAAAAATACATGGCATTAATTAGATTTATTTACTTTTTTCCAGAAAATTTTTCACTTTATTTCAAAGTCGGTGTTGGTTATAAAACTTCCAAATCCAACTTGGAGTTGGATTCCAAATTTGGAAAAGAAATGCTCGAAAAATGCTTTCCAACTCCATCTTCATGAAGTCCAAATAAAGGGCTCTCCTCTCATTTTCAAAAAGTATAACCAACATAACTCCTACCTAATAAATTCAAAATAAAGTGAAAAATATTTGGAATCTATGCCAAACGCCTACTTACTTTACAGTAGGTTTATGTTGGAAAGGTTGCAAAGAAAGCAACGGAAAGCAGGTATAAGATTCCATGCGAAGATTTCAGCTATCAACTACTACAAATGATTATCAAGTTTCACCAAGGAAAAAGAAAAGAAAAAAAAAAAGCTTAAGAAAGCTTATTTTATTGGAGTAATTGTACAGTTGCAAATAGCTAGGGAGAAAACAATATGGCTTTACCATAACAAATCCTGCTAGGAATGGCAAAAGGAACTGCTTTTTGCTGAGAATATGATTAACTAAGATGAAAATCAGTAAGTTATCTTTAGTTTTCATCCATGTTCATGTGATGGAAAAGAACATTTACAGCTAAAGGCACACGCCTTCTCTTTCTAAACTACAGAAGTAAATATATTTTTATCACCCTCTACCAATAAAAAGATACTGAACCTGCAGGGAGCATTTTGTAACATGGATTCAGAAAGCTGGAAGCTAGGACTACTTTAATCTGGAAAATAGAGTACCTAGAACACATCAGGCGTTTATATGAAACCCCCTCTGACTGATACACTAGATACTACATGTCCCTGCTAGCTAGTACTTGCTTCGTATACTCGAACTTGACCTTGTTAATAGCTTGACTACCTCTTTCATTGAGGGTCTTTTGCTGACTTTCTTCTCTGTACATCTAAGAGCTAGTGAAAGCACTTCAATTACTTGTTCCATGACACTTGAGTCTATGAATTCGTCCAAAAGTCTTGGATCCACAATCTTCTCAATTTCTTCAGTTTCAGTCCAAACAGACCTAACCCAACACATAATATCTGTATCCCCATAGAGTGAACGGTCCAACACCTTCTTTCGAGTTATAAGTTCTAACAGGACAATACCATAACTATAAACATCTGACTCCTTGCTCTTTGTAGCTGCAAATGCAGTTTCTGTCAACAAAAACAGACAAGACACAGACAATATTATTTTTCTACAGATGACTAGATCTCTAAAGAGACAGCTAACTGAAAGGAAGTGTGAGAAAAAAATGAAAATTACATACCTGGAGCCATGTATCCAACAGTGCCCTGAAGGGCATTGGAGGCGGAAGTTGCTGCAGACTGATCCAGAAGCTTGGCAATACCAAAATCTGATATGTGAGGCTCCAGATCAGAGTCCAACAAGATATTCATGGGCTTGATGTCTCGATGCACAATGGCAGGATCACAGTCGAAATGGAGATATGACAACCCTTGAGCAACTCCAATAGCAATTCGGTACCGAACGCTCCATTCTAATGTTACAGGTGGCTTAGTCTCATGGAGAATATCATGAAGGCTCCCGTTCTCCATGTAATTATAAAGAATCAGCCCATAATCCTTTCTCAGCCAGAAGTCTTCTAATTTGACAAGATTGCGGTGCCTAACCTTTCCAATTGTCTGAATTTCTCTAACCATACTTCTGCTTCCATCCTTTATACCAACAAACACCAGCTTTTTCACAGCATACACTTTCCCTGGACCCAAGATGGCCTTATATACAACTCCATGAGCTCCCCTCCCAATGACATACTTATCGTTTAGGTTCCCAGTAGCTTCCAATACTTTATTAAGCAGGGACGATGCACCTTCTTGAGCAGAGATTGCAACTCCTTTCCCAGAACTTTTGCGCCACAGAAGCATGTAAGCAATTACTAGGAGTAAGGAAATGGTAAATATCAGTGCCCCAAGTGCAATCATTGCCGTTTCTGCTACACTCAGGTGCCTTCCATTGTTTGATTGAAGATCACAGCGCCTTAACGTGATATTCTCAGGGCAATTTGAGCCTTCTTCTGGATCACAGTGCACGCAAAGGCCCGAGTTTCCCGAGAAAGAGGTAGGAGTTAAGTTGAGGAACTTCATCAGATGTGCAGGTACTGGACCAGAAAAGAGGTTGTATGATACATTGATGAATATCAATGAACGCATTCCATCAAGAACTCTTAAAGTTCCAGAAATGTTATTGCCAGCTATATCTAACTCCTCCAGGAAAGTAAATTTTCCTAGCTCCGCAGGAAGTTCACCTGTCAACCTGTTACTACTCAGATTTAAACACCTCAGTGTTTCTCTTGATGCAGTCGCAATTGCTGAATGAATTTCCCCACCAAGTGCATTTCCACCAAGCTGCAGCTTGGAGAGCTTCTTGAGTGCAAACAAGGAGGTTGGAATACCTCCTGAAAGATTATTCTCACTCAGACTCAAAATGGATAGCTCTTCCAAGCTTCCAAAAATGGATGGGACCGATCCACTCAACAAATTATGACTTGCATCAAACTTCAACAGTCTCTGCCAGTTTGAAAGCTGAGATGGCAGTACACCTTCCAAACCATTGTACGAAAGATTCAAACCCTGGAGGTTGACAAGGTTTGCCAGCTCTGGTGGTACAAACCCTGAAAGCTTATTCACTGATAAGTCAATTGATGTAGCATTTCCAAGATTTGCCAAACTTGGGGATATTTTCCCACTGAAGCCATTCTCACTGAGATCCAAGAAAATAGGATTTATATTCTTAACAAAATCTGGAATGGCACCTGACAGATTATTTTTTTTGAGAATTACTCTCGTCAAAGTATAACATTGTCCTAATTGAGAAGGAATGCCACCTTCGAGATGATTATAACCTAAAATAAGCTTCTCCAGTTTCTTTCCAAAACAAAGATTAGGTGGAACAGGACCTGTGAAGGTGTTGTTTGTGAAATCCAGCAGCGTTAGACTGCTGTTAATCCCCAAACCTTGAGGTATAACTCCGGTAAACTGGTTTTCAAATAAGGATATGTTCTTTAATTGTTTTAACTCAGTCATTTCAAGAGGTAACTCCCCAGTCAGGTTGTTCCGATAGACAAGAAGATGTTGAAGACTTTGAATCTTCCAAATAGTGCGGGGAATCTCACCACTCAATTTGTTGGAATATAGAGAGAGATACTGCAACTGGCTGAGTGATCCTAGTTCACTAGGAATTTCACCTTCCAGTTGGTTTTCCGGTAGAAGTAATTCCTGCAAGGCCTGGCACTTCCCCAGCTCAGGTGGTATTTTTCCAGAGAAATTGTTGTCAGTAAGGTAAAGCTTCTCCAACTTTGTGAGCTGGCCTAGAGAAGCAGGAACAGGGCCACTTAAACCAGAAGAAAAAGCAGCAAGAACTTTTAGGTTAGTACAATTCATCAAACTTGGAGGAAGTTCCCCATTGAAAGTGTTGGATGACAAGACCAGAGTGTCAAGATGTTTGCAGTTACCTAAAGTGAAAGGGATACTTCCTTGTAGACTATTATTGCTCAAGTCCAAATAAACAAGGTGTTGTAGCTTATCAAAATTCTCAGGCAAACTACCAACTAAATGATTATCATTCAAATACAATTCTTGCAAGTTAGTACAGTTTCCTATGGAAGACGGAATTGGACCGGACAAGTCATTCTGATAAAGATAGAGAGATAAAAGGTGAGTCAAGTTACCAATGCTGGATGGGATGGAACCATTTAACCTGTTTTGGTTAAAGTAGATAGTTTTCAAATGTGGGATAGAAAACAAGGAATCAGGAATATTACCAGTCAATGAATTAGAGAGGAGGCTTATGTAGGTTAACTTGTGTAAATTTCCAATGTTTGAAGGAATATGTCCAGTAAAGGTGTTGTAGGATAGATCCAAGTAATGAAGAAGAGTGCAATTAGTGAGTTGAGAAGGAATGGAGGCAGAGAAAGCATTATAACTCAAATCAATGGTAAGCAAGTGCTTCAAATAAGCAATTTCAGGTCCCAATTGGCCAGAGATATCATAGCCAGAGAGGTTCAAAGAGGTGACAAAGTGGTTGTTATCACATTCAACACCAACCCAAGAACATGGAGTGGAATCTGAAGCATTCCAAGAAGAGGGTACACCAATCCAGTGACTAGAAAGGGAAAGTAAAGCGGTGCCATCAGAAGTGAGAGCATATACAGCATAACCCCACAGAGAGAAACAGCAGCAGTAAAAAAAGATGAAATTTTTAACAGCTATCTTCATAATTTGTGCTACTATGAAAAATGATTTGGGGGAAGAAAAAGAAGTGGGATGTAGAAAGAAATTTGAAGTGTAATTTAAGGAGGGGAAAACAAATTGGGAATTTTCTTGGGTTTAAGTGTGAAAAGAAATGGGAACATGTTGAAAAAACACAATGGGCAACTTTAACTACCTTAAACAGTAGTGGAGAGAGGGAAGTCATTCTTTATTCACAAAAGCATACCATATCATTTTTTTTTAGGGAAAAAGGATAAATATACTCCTAAACTATCATAAATGGTACGTCAATATTCTCCGTTATATTTTTGGGTTGTGTATGTTTAAACAATTAAGTTAATTTGAAAAATGGAAAATGCCTAAAAAATTAACTTAATATGGAATGGGGGAGTAATTACTATCTTTTAATGAATGCGGAAAGACTTAAAAAAAAGGAAAAAGGAAAAATATACCCCCAAACTATCATAAATGGTACGTTAATACCCTTCGTTATACTTTTGGGTTGTGTATGTCCTTACC